CTCCTCCTCCTCCTCCTCCTCCTCCTCCTCCTCCTCCTCCCCCTCCGGCTCTCCTCCTTGTCCCTCCTCCCCTCCTCCTCCCCTCCTCCCATCCATTGATTCTGCCTCCGCGTGCCCATTTCGCCACAGCCCTCACACGTCTCGTAGCCCCATAGGGAGCTTCACCGAAACAAGAAGGCGGGGATGCCGCATGCAGTTCCCCACCCATTTGGGCACACCCCTCGCGCGCTTCGTGGCCCCATGGAGAGCTCCACCTAAGCCCTCAGGGTCCGTTCAGGTCGTCTGGAGGGTCTCTTGGAGCTGTTTTGAAGCCGTCTTGGGGGCCTCTTGGCCGTCTTGGCGCCCTCTTGGGCAGTCTTGGCCGTCTGTTGGGGTCGGGGTGGGGTCGAATTGGGCCCATTTTGGGCACCGTTGTGTTGTTTGGTTGATGCTGATCGGCCTCGAGCACGGTAAAAGCCTTTGACAAGGATAGAAGCGTGGAAAGTCCAAGGGTCTCTTGGCTCCTGGCAACAATGATAACTAAAAAGTTCGACATGTTACCGCGCTAGCTGTGAATGGATTGGAAGCACGGAAAGGTATCGGACTACGAATGGCACCCTCGATGTCAGAGCAAAGAAATCGATGCTGCCTGCAATAGATAATTCAAACAAAACGCACTGTGCGTTGCCGCTTTATTTCGCAAGCACCAGTGCTGACTTGAGCATCCTAGCCTAGACGATCCTGTACAAATTAGACAGGAATACACGCAGCGTCGTCTCCGATTCGGCCAGCATCAAAATCATGGTGGACTCGGTTGGAACACTCACTGCCAGCCAGCGGGATGGAAAATAAGGACGAAGCACAAGCAAGCCCAGGATGCTGCCGCCCCGCCGAAGCGGGTCGCTGCGTCGGTTTCGCCGTGAAACTCGGGTTCGCACTGGGTTATCCAGACGGGATCTCCAAGGAGCTCGCAGTCCCAGGGCGTGCGGTACTGGGGGGGGTCGTTCATGTCGATGCCTGGCGTGCAAGTATCCTTACAAGCGGCCCAATATTCATCCTTTTTGTAGCAACCCTTGCCGAGCTCACTGCAACACAAGGAGGCGCTGCAGTCCTCGGGAGCGGCCAAGAGGGGGGTGTCCAAGAGGGGGGGGTGCAAATCATGACCAGCGGCATACGCGCGGCCCAGCGGGGGGGCCAGGGACGTAATGAAATAAGAAGAGGCGCCATGAAATCTGGGGAAATATGATGGCCCCCGCCATGATATCCCCCCCCCCCCTAGTCATCACCCCCCTCTTTTCCGCCCCCGATCCTCCCCAGGGCCGGCACAAGCCAGGACCAGGTCGCAGGTCCACGGCGTCCTGTGCTCCGGCGGGTCGCCCGGATGGATGCCCGGCGTGCAGGTCGCCATGCAGCCCGCCCAGTGCTCGTTCTTCGTGTGGCACTTCATGCCTGGGGACACCAACAGGTACTCCAGATTTCGTCATAAAAGGGAGGGGGTCTGGACCCTCCAAGACAAGCCATTTCAGACCTCCCCCGTGGGAGAACCCTCCAAAACATCGTCCCCAGACCCCCCAGGCCCTCCAAGATAGCCTGGAAGAGACCCCCCCCCGAAATGAGACCCCCCTCCCTTTATTACGAAATCTGGAGTACCGATACCGCTGTTCCATGGAACCTCCTCCAGGGTGCGTTCTGACCAGAATTCCGAGGCGAATCCAGCGGTGGCGACGAGGGCCTCCCACTCACTCACACGCCGTACGCCGTCCAGCACTAGGGCCTCCCGGGAGGCCCAGCAAGGAAACACGAGCGAGGGGTAGCGGTACGGGTACCTCTTCCTCCTCCGAAGGCCTGGATCACTGCAGCACCGGCTGGCCCTGCTTGGGCGCCCGAGTTATCCGGGGTAACTCGGGTCCGGGGTAACTCGGGTTTGGATTCCCGAAAAACGAACCCGAGTTAGCCCTTACCCGAGTTACCCCTGATGATTCGGGGCTCTGGACGCCCGAGTTATCCAGGGTAACTCGGGTCCGGGGTAACTCGGGTTTGGATTCCCGAAAAACGAACCCGAGTTATCCCTGACCCGAGTTACCCCTGATGATTCGGGGCTCTGGACGCCCGAGTTATCCAGGGTAACTCGGGTCCGGGGTAACTCGGGTTTGGACTCCCGAAAAACGAACCCGAGTTATCCCTGACCCGAGTTACCCCTGATGATTCGGGGCTCTGACCTGCAGTCCTCCCCCTCGCCAGAGCAGCTGTCGCAGGGCGCCGGCGTGGCCCGGATGGCGGAGATCTCCGGCGGCGTGGGCGCCGGCGGCGCGGGCGGGGAGGTCGGAGGCGGCGGCGGGGGGCTCGGCGAGGGCGACGGCGGGGGGCCCGGAGCGAGGGAGGGGTTCGGCGGCAACTCACGGGAGCCTCCCATACCATTGTGTAGGCGCTTGCGAATCGACACCGGTCGACGCTGAGTCGACGCTAAGTCGGCGCTACATCGACGCCAGATCGACGCGAAATCGACGCTGAAGCGGCGCGATCCTACCGATTACCCGGCGCTAGTCGACGCTAGCGCGCTGTAAAAATGCAGCTGTTCCGACGGTAGGACCCCACATAAGAATCGATTTAGTTTGCGCCTCAACTTTTTCTAGGGCTCCCAACTTCGCGCTTCGCGCTGCGCGAAGCGCGAAGCGCGAATAACTTCGCGCTCTCGCGCCGCCCCCCCAAAGGGAGAAAAGGAGGACGAGGAGGAGGGGGAGGAGAAACGAGGACCGCGAAGCGCGAATAACTTCGCGCCCTCGGGGGAGCCCTTGATTTTAGAGGATCCCAGAGGACCAGACCTCGGTGCTTCCACGGAGCGCTTGGGGGGCGACGCAGCGACAACTGTCCCTCTAGAGTTGTTCTCTGCGGCGGCGAAAGCCGAGGATGTCACGTCTTTTCTCGAAAGTCAATGGCTGTTGCACGTTCGAATGCAATGATGTTCTCCGGCGAGTAGATCGGAAGTGCAGATCATGCAGCCGCCAGGTGCGCCTCTTCGTCCCCAGGAGGACTCGTTCGAAGTCAGCTTCACCTACCGCGCCATGGAGAGTCCGACTCGCAGAAGACAGTGAGAACCAGCCAGCCTCAGTCGGTCACGGTCGGGACACGTCTTCGAGTCCCAAGCCTATCCTGAAACCGTCGCTGGCTGGACCCCAAGATTCATCTTCATCCCTGAAGACGGCCATTGCGCAGACCACCGGAGGCGCAGCTGTCCAGGATCGCCGAGCCCGCAGCGGGTGCCCGCCGCGTCTCCTGCCGACGGAGTTCGGCGCACGGAGGCGGTCTGGAGGGATGCAGAGGTCAAGCACGAGCAGGCGGCCCAGGCAGTGCAGCGCCTGCGCAGCCAGCTCGACCAGGCAGAAGAGAAGGAGCGACACGCTGCCAGAGTCTTAGCACGTGCCACGCTGGCGAAAAAGCAGGCGGCGCAGGCCCTGGCCAAGGCGGAAGGAGTTATTTTCGACAGCGCTGATGACGACAGCGCCAAGTCCTTGTTCCAGCTATCGTGGGACCAAGAGCTGTTCACCAACATAGACCAGCTCGAATGCGACCAGAGTGAGAAGAGGGATGCCTTGGCACAGCTAGAGAGGGACCTTGTCAGTACCAAGGATACCTTGAAGTCCAAGGAGGAGGAGGTTCAGGCCTGGCTGCAACGTGCAGCTGAGCTGAAAGCATCGACCAAGGGGCGCCTCGCCAGGAAGAGGAGGAGCAACAGCGACCAGGCCGTGCTCCCGCAGAGGCTCAGACTGCAGCGCAGAAGGAAGTGGACTCATCCGAGACCCAGCCCTCCGCGGAGCAGAAGGATGCTCAGGCGGCAGCAGCAGCAACAGCAGAGAGGGAGCGCCTCATCGAGCCCGAGGCAGAGAAGCTCTCCAAGGCCAAGTTCGCGGCGCTCCAGGCGAACCAGCAGGCGTCAGGCAATAGCGGCAAGGGCAAACCCTCCAAGGGCAAGCAGGGCCAGGGCGCAGATGCCCAGCCCAAAGCCTGACAGTCCGCCGAGCCCTGCTCACCGTCGACTCCTTCGGCCAGCTCATCGACGGCGAGCACTGCGGCTCCTTCCTCGTGGCCTTCTCCGACCTCCCGTTCCCCCCGTTCCCCATCGGGCTCCAGTCCGAGCCCGTCCTTGCGAGGGCCCTCAGTCGAGCCTCACACCGATGACGTCGATGATGGTGAGAACGGGGACCACGTCGCAGACAACTTCACCAACCTCGTTTTTGGGAACGTTACGCGCATGAGACCCACTGGCAGGGGCGAAGTCAAGCAGTGGGACCTCAAGGCGAGGAACATTGGTCTCAAGCTTTCTTGCAATCCAGCCCGACCGAACATGGAACATCTCAAGGAGCTGTCAGTAGGGCGTGCCAACGAAGGGGGCGAGCGGATCCTCACTCATGGGCATCTTCGCGCACATTCCCTCGACCCAGCGCCCGCCCCCATGCTCCTCCACGACGCCGCCGGAGTCAATGACGGCTTCTGCGCGATCACCGTCCACATGAAGCGCTATACCTTCGTGCTCATCACCTTCTACGGGTACGCAAGCATTGGCTTTTCGGGGCCGACTGTCAGCCGCTATCGTCGCTTGGGTACACCTCTTCCCGCTCTTCAACTTCTGAGGGTTGTTGTGGCAGATGCCAATGTCAGTGCGGCGCGGTTAGCAAGGCAGGTTCCACAGAGCGCGTCGGTGGCCGCATCATCGGATCCAACGTGGACTACACGTGCAATGCACGAGCCAAGGGATCGCATATCGACTTCGTCATGTGCAGCACAACTGCCCTATGCTTTGCCTACTCGGTCGAAGCAGAGCTCGCAGCGCCGTGGAAGACCTAAATGGGCCTTCGCATTCGACTTCGTGATCGAGGGCAGGAACTACTCACGCGAGGGCTGCCCATCGCGCCGAGACTCCCTTAGGCCCAGCGTCATGGCCAGGAGCCCCACCCAGAATCCAAATCCAGTCGCGCTCGCGCGCCTCGGCTTCTGGCAACTCAGAATGTAGCGGTGAGGCGCGACGAGGTATACTCCACGCTCTATGGGGGCGTCCTGGAGGCCATCGACCTTCAGAAGGTCAGGGAAGCCCCGAGGGAGACCCCCACTTCTGAGTCTGAGCGCCCTGAGGCCCCAGCTGTCACTCCCAGGCGCTCTGAGATGTTTCACCATGGTGCTGCTTTCTGCTCCGATGAGGGCCCCCGGGCAGATGAGCTGAATTTCAGTTCGGAGGCGAAGCCCAACCTTGGGGCCCCTTCGACCTCCCCCCCCCCCTTCTTGCAGCGAATCTCCGTCGGTCGATGCTGCTGCCCCTCCCGTGGAGGCCGGCGGAAGCCGCGCGAGCTCGGGCCCCGCGCGGAGGCCTGGCGGTGCCCCTGCGGGGGCCGCGCCCGCCCCCATCGGTGGCCCCCCCGAGCCCCGAGGGGCGCCCGGCGTCACTTCTATGATCCCTCCCCATCTGTGGGATAAGCATAGAGGAAAAAGAACTATGCACATACACCGATTCTGGCCAGACCCATCCTGAGCCCAGGATCGGTGCATATGCCCCCCTACCTTGGCCAGGAAGGCATATGCACCGATCCTGGGTCAAGGATGGACGTTGTCAGGATCGGTGCATGTGCATATTTCTCTTCGCCCGATAAGCACGGGCAATCTGTAGGATGTTCGTTTTCCCACGCCCTCCCTTTTGCCAGCCGGCAGCAGGGGCTCCAGAGCCTTCAGGGAGGACCCTGAACGTGCTCTGCTGGTCAGTGGCATGCACGCGTCTTGGGTGTCTGCGGTTGAGGATAGTATTCGAGATCATCATGGATGTAAGACTGTTTCCCATGGGCCCAATCGAGCTCATGCCCCCACCTTCACTGCGCAAGAAGTCCGAGTGTCGGACAGATATCGAACGGCCCCGTTACGTGACGCGGTCGCAGGCTGGTGGACGAAGCTTCACTCGCTGCTCAGCTCTCTCCACAAACATCGTGCTCGAGGCAACGGACTCGTGCAGCAACGGCGATGGGAAAGAGAATGTCGACGCCTCCTTAAAGACAGGCCCGAACAGGTTCACGTCCCAGTGTCGTCATGCCTGGTGCCGCCCTGGTCTGACTGGCTCGCTTTCTTATCGTCCATCGACGTTTGTTCGCTCGTCAAGCTCGACACGTTCGCCCAATATTCGAACGCAGTCATGAGATCGAGTCAGTGGAAAGCCCGGCACGCATCTCTTCGGGACTTTCAGGATTGGGCCATCTCGCGGAACTCCTTGGGCGCGCTCCACAGAGCCATGGCAGGACCCCGCCCCCAACCTCGAGATGTTCAACGGCTCGTGTATCCTCTACCATCCGAAGGATATAGTCGATGTCAAAACTAACCAGTGGCATCGCAAGTGGGCTCCGCCCATCTCCGACCCCGACGGGGCTCTTGGGGACGTCCTCGGAGTCATCCAGCAGGCGATCAGGGACGACC